TATAGGAAGATGCAGTACTAGATTACAAGTATTAACGTGTCCACTTACTGAGAGGAGTGACTTTCAGCGAACAGCTTCCCTATAGGAAGATGCAGGTCCCTGACAATGAATTCTTGGTCGGTGTGCAGGGTTTCCACCTTAGCGATGATGTCGTACTTGAGGTTGCAAGGCGAGCAGGCTGCCCAGAACGGACGCCAGTGCAGGTTGATGTGTTTGTGGTGGTTAGGATCCCTGCAACGGAAATGATTAGCTAAACTAAATTCTTATTCAATTTAAGCGCATTTAATTAACAAATGTAATCCAATTATTGTACACTTTACTGCAACAGCTGAGTTTTCGGTATAGCAGGAATTACCAAACATTTCTGTTCTGTGTAAGAAAGTAATTAGGCATCATCATTACTTGAAAAAAAGCAGGTCATCTGCAAGGTTAATCAGAAATTCTTCAAAATTTCGGCTAACGCCCGATGTTAGATGAAATTCCCCTACTTAAATGACCGTTGGACTAATAACTATATTCTTATTAATTTCCCTTCATAGTTACTGCAGTTAAAAAGTGCTCACCAGTAAGTGATGAGGTCATCACGGACGCGGAGGAGGAACTTGTTGAAGCTTGGCTGGTTGGGTGATGAGGGCATGACGGGCGCCAGGTCAACGTGTGGAGGCAGTTGAGGTTCCTTGTAGGACCGGGCGATGTTCAGCTGGATCGTCTCGTAGTTGCCCGCACGAATGTTGCGCAGCATCTTGTCTCTAGCAATTAAATTGATGGTCATATATATTTTAAATAATATGGGTTTTATTAAACTGCATTATTATTGTAGCCATCGAAGGATTAATGTGAAGGCGATTACTGAGAGACATTCACCTGTGGGCAGGCAGGTAAGCCACTCACTTGTAGGCGGACAGGTAAGCCATTCACCTGTAGGTGGACAGGTAAGCCACTCACCTGTAGGCGGACAAGTAAGCCACTCACCTGTAGGCGGACAGGTAAGCCACTCACCTGTAGGCGGACAGGTAAGCCACTCACCTGTAGGCGGACAGGTAAGCCACTCACCTGTAGGCGGACAGGAGTCTGTCCAAAGGATGCCGGACGATGATCAGTTTCTTGGCGTGGCGCAGCATCTGGTTGCGCTCGGCGCTGTGGGGCGGGGGCGGGTAGAGCTCCTTGGAGAGGGCGTGGTGGCGCTGGGGCGGCTCCGTAAAGTTGGCCAGTAGCAGGAGATTTTTGACCCACGTGGTGGAGGCGCACTATGGCAACAAGCTCGTATACGTATAATATGGCAACAAGCTCGGATACGTATTTGCGCTGAAACTCGTATGTGTGCTGATATTCATAAGGAAGTGACGTGATAGAAGGGAGAGCAATTGATTTGGGTAAATAATATAAAGAAATATATGAGGCGCCCTCATAATTGTCATTGGGATCCCTCAAATCATTAAAAAGAAATAGGTAGCTGGTAAAGCCGAGGGTGGAATGCAAACAAGATTTTTTTAAGAAAAAGATTCACTATAGAAGAAGAAGAATAAAGAAGTGGTGTCAGGCTCAATTTGCAGTGCATTTGATTAAAAGAAATAATAATGCACTGTCAGACAATATATTACTTCTCTGGCTTCTTTTAGTTAAAAATTTATTCTTATTCTTAAAATTTCACCATTCATTTATTAATTATTAGTAATTAAATAGAATTAGTCACAAACAATTTGAAATCAAGACAAAAAATACCTAAACAACACTTGGACTTGAAGAAAAACCTGAAATAAAAAATATCCATGAGTCAATAGTCATAGCGAGGGAGAAAAATTGCTCGCTTTTGGTGAACCAGGAACTGTGATTAGTGATGAATTATCTTAAATGATGAATTCACTAAAAGAATTGCATAATCACCTTGAATATCGGACACCAAATAAATTTGTAATCCTTCACCCAGCGCAAGGTTTGGTGGAGCTTCGCAGGCTTCAATTCCGTGAAGTTGGTGAGCGATCGGTAGCGTTGACATGCAGCCTGCACCACATCTGATCGTTGACGCATCACTTTCCTCAAGTTGTTGGTGTCGGTCTCGTTCTGAAATTAGTGGAAACTGTGAACTGAATCCTTCAAATATCGTTCTACATACAGCATCAAAAGTTTTAAATTAATTTGCTGAGAAACTCGTTGGGAGCATTGATATATGAAACACTCTAAAAAGATAAACCTTATCCGCGTCGCTGATTTGGAACATGTAATGAAATAAAGGACAATATCGTGCGTTCTCTCATTATTAGAGCTAATTATGCAGTGGAACACAAAATATTTATGTATTTATAATTGTGGATAACTGGCTGTTGGTCTAACTACGTACAAGAAAGCCTTAACGCAGTTCTACATCAATTTTTTTTCTATCGGCACGCAAGTTCATTACAACACGCGCGCGGAAGAGCAATCGCTTGTTCCTGTATAGAAATATTTTGCAGTTGCTAACTTGAATACTAAGGTCACCATATGAAGAATAAGTTTTAAAACTATTTAAAGTCTAAGCTTCGATTCAAACTTCAAGATATATTTACTGTTAAAATAAATGTTACAAATACACTCCACCTACCCAGTTTGCGTTAACTTTCATGTGTACATCATCTCCATAGGCCGCGGCTCCAGCATGCCTATATCTTGCGTCCAGTTGAGTTACGCGCTTATTCATGGCCGAAAATTTTCCTCGTAGTGTTTTCCGGATGGTGATTTTAGTTTGATCAGCTCCTATGCTTGAGTTGATATTCATGGCAGGGTTTTGTTCATAATATTCATGATCTCTACCAGAGTCGTAGGCTAAACTGCTGGAAAAGCTCTCCTCGCTTTGTTTATAGCCAAGGTCCACTTTCTGCAGCGTTTCAACAAGCACTTTAGAATGTGTATCTTTTTGTAATCGGGTGTTGGTTTCGTTATTTTCAAATCTTAAAAAGTTTTTCGCTTCATTTAAGTGTTGCAACAAGTATTTAATGCTCATTAAAGACGAAAGTTGAACGCTGTTCTCCTTCGAATGCTGCCACTCGGAGTCTGCAGGCCACGTGAACAAGACGCTCGTTGCGATCACCAGACTTACAAGCAACAGAAACCAGACTTTCTTTTGTTGGTGGAAACGACGGCCGCAGCTCATAAAGTTTGAGTGATTGATCGACGGTTGTGAGGTTTCGCGGTCCATTTTTTGAATGGATAATTATCAATAATTTTATTATGAAATTTAATTGAACGTGAGGTGTTAACAGTAGAACCTCATTATTTTAAAGCAAAAATATGGTAGCAAATGATGATAAATTAGGCTGTATCTTGCCGAGATTGGTCGTTCGTTTACTAAAAAAGACCAAAATCACTTTCACGTATAGGATACCTATAGGAGCGCGATGCGATAATTTACAGTTCCACTTTTTCTGAATAGTACTCACGTTCAGGACATTTAGCACAATGAGTTGTTTCTCAACATTAATCACACGTTAAGCCTTTACACAATTTTTTTCAAAATATGTCAGGTCAATTAAAAGATGTCGACGCCGTCACCAAGTTGTGCCCTGAAGATCAATACTTCGGTCAATTAATTATAAGTCACTCAACACAACACAATTATATGTCACTCAACACAAGACACTGGAAATACGTTCTTGGTCCCAGAAGAATTAATATAATCAGATATAAAACCTCCTCAGAGACAGTGGATCCAATTATACGTGGTCGAAACAAACTATATACACACCTCTATTGGCTACACAGCTCAATAGAAAGCCCTAGATATCGTGAGGTCCGCACAGAACAGAGGTGACGCTAGGACGGCGATGTAGGAACTGATCTCAGCACCAGGGTCCGGCGTAGCTTCTTGGAACTGTATAACGGCACTCTGACCTGCAGGCAGCGTGCGGCGCATTGCTCTGGCGTACAACGGCACTAACTTTTCTCGTACGTTAACCTCTCTCGTGCTGGCAATGATCTCTCAGAACTTTAATAAGGCTAGCATCTCATGCGGGGAAATGACAGCTCAGAACTGTTATTACGCTTGCAAAAGAATACGAAGCAGCTAAAGATAAGTTATAATTTTAACTTGATTGAATGTTATCAACCGATCGATCGTCTCAACAGCGGTATAATCGTACCCGAATTGAAGTATAGTTAATTAGAAAAAAATATGCAATCGTTCATGAAAATATTAATATAGAATACACGAGCGTGGCATGGCACCTATGAAAAAGGACATTTATAATATTAAACATAACAATATTGAAAGGCAGCTTGTAAAGAATTTTACGGAACATACTTCTCCCGTGTACATAAGGTTGGGAGCTTTTAGGTAGGATCAGAGTTGATGAGCTCAGGCATAATTCAGTTTTAACCAAACTTGCCCTAGATTGTTCAGCAATTTCACCAATTAATACCAAAACATTTCTCTTAGTCTTCCTTAGAGAAAATTTACTACTATTTAGCGGTAACTCAATTAAAGCACTCAATGGGGCGAATCTGGCATGTGTGCCAAGATCTTTATAATAATAATAGTGGCTATTTGACCCAATAAGATTAGATGATAAACAATCACTTCCAGCAGGCTTGAAGAGAAATAATTACTAGATCTTGTTACTTCTAACTTTACATAATAAGAGACTTGAACAATTTATGAACTTAACTTTCTAGAGTTTTCTGCAGGTTTCACTCATGAAATTCAATGCACTAGCGAATTAGCTACCGAACATCAGATTATTTTTGTGCTGTTGCCAATTCAAGATGTTACAGAAATATGAAAGCTGGATGTGGGTCTCAAACCTGAAATTCGCTGCTTCAATCATTTGATTCTAACCACTCGGTCACGAGAGGTAGGTAATATATCAAACAGAAAATGTTACCTTTCCATTTTCATTGCACTAGTTCTGCAAACCGTTTCATGATCGTCATTAACATCACCAAAAACATTTTTCAATGTGAAGGTAACTGAACACAGTTATTATCTGTTCTTATCTTATTATCTGTTCTGAACAATGCGCGACCTGTATTAGCAAATTACTTAGAATATATAATATAGTTGCTCCAATACGTAGTTGGACTGGGAGTAAAAACAACGATTTTTTAGGTTTAATTTTGTAAACAATAATTTACAACATTCTATTATGAATATAATAATTTTTAGGATCTCTAATTTCATAAATTTAAAATAAAGCTATTTTTCATGAGAGTGCATCATTTGATTTCTGCAATGAAATCATTTTCCCTATGTTGTAAAAATTTATCTGCTTTGACACTCAGGCTGATGAGAATAAAGCGAAGACGACGTGGCGGGAGCGACTGTGTGTAGTTCGAGCGCAAGCTTCGTCCGCCAATATGTGATGACGAGACACGACGCAGCTCACTCCCTTCGGCATATTGACATCTGCATTTAGATATAAAATGGGGAAGGATTGGAAAATGGGAAGAAGGATTTATATTTTTTCAATTACACAATCATAATGTTATAGACAATTTCAAGATGATTTATTACCGAAATTAACCTGTTATTCATATTCATGCCAGTGCGCCCAATTTGGAATATCAGGCCTCTCACAAATGGCCATAAAGAATTGCATGGCGTTGACTGTCACCGTTCAAAGAACATGTAAATTATTATTAAAAGAGCACCTATTGTTAGAGTAACGTGGCACGTCAGACCCCAAGGACACCATGCTCTTTATAATCGTTACTTTAAATGGCCAGGCACTGGCCAGGTAAATTTAGCGTTCATTAAAAACTAGAAAACTTAAAGAGAAGAATTCAGGAGCTTAGCGCGCTAGCTGCATGTTGCACATTCTTCTGCTCGCTTTACCCAGCCTGATATTCATTTACTGAATGAGTTCCCGTCTACTGAGTTTTTCGTAACAGAAATCATCAAGATGTATCAGGCGCCTTCAGCAATGGTTTGCCTGCTACAAACGCTTTAAAAACGCTCAAAAAAAAGAAGACAATATGGTTTCTGCATAGCTCAGCCGGGAAATCGAATAGGTCATTCCGTTGAACCACTGGGAATGCATTAGAGTTCTTCTAATGTGGATTTACATTGAAAGTTTCTGACTGAGGTGGAGACTAAGACTGAGAATAGAAGTGGCAAACAACATAAAAAATAAAAATTAATCGGATAAATACTTCTGCCGGCAATCCAGCTGTCGCCACCACGGCGCATCAGGAAACTGTTAAGATGCGGTATTAAGACCACGGAAATAGTACGATATCAATTTGCTTTGCAATAATGGCTACCTCAATAATAATCTCATGCAACTGGAGACTCATGCCGCTCACCGTGCTCAGTGATCCTCAATGAGGAGCACGCAATTTTTTTTCAAATTAAAAGCCATGAACTTTTTCTTTAAATGAAAGAATAATTAAAGCTTTGACTAGAATTTACTTTGCTCAAACCACCTTAGCGCTTAGTAACCTGAATTCAAGGACAAATAATTAGAAAGTGCAAGTTGGAAGTGTAATTTCTTACTGGAAATGCGACCAGATCTAACAGCTACTTGAATATTAATCAGTATTCAACGACATAAATGCATAATGGTAATGAAACTTATATCTAAATGGCGGAAATCTTCAAAATTTCTGCTACCAACATCAGTCTGGTTATACATGTATATGTATAACCAGACTATATTTAGAATTTTCACTCTATAGAATGTCTCGCGTTGGCCCGATAATTTACCCATATCTCCAAACTTTGATCACGTTTGTATTCCCTCATAAATTTTAAAATGTTCTAAGTCCCCTTATGTAGATTTCCCAACATGCCTAAAAATGTTCGTTGATCTATTCGCGTACAAATCTTATTAAGCATTCATGGGCCTCAGCAAGGGGCGGATTTGTCTCGATATGAGTGTGTATATCGAACGACCTCATTGACAGCACACGTCGGTGTGTTGGTCGGCACATCTCATTGAGGCCCTGGTCTTCTATTTTGTATCTCCAAGTGCCATAGCAATAGCGATTGAGTCATGCATGCGAACTCAGCTGTTCTAATAGATGCATCCAATGCAATGTATAGTGGTCAGCGTAATAAGTGTTGAAAACACTGGCTTTTCAGGACCTTGCTCAATTTTTGTCTGTGCCAGTTGCGTGAAGGAATTCGTCAACAAATTTTTGAACAGAAACGACGATGTTAAAAATAATTCGGGTGCCTCTTGTTTGGCAGCTTAATAATTAATACTGCCTGGGAAATGGTTGTCGCACATGTCGAAACTGCAAAACTCAAGGCGGAAATAACACTTATATGCTATTAAATTTGAGTAAAAGAAATAGCAAAATTGACTATAAACTAGAAATTATTTGTATAATTATTTGAAATTTGAAACTTTCGGATTGTTTGTTTCACAGCAGTAGCGGTATTTGTTAGTTTTAATAACTTAATATAGCGATGCCGTTATGACTAAGGGAAATATGAGGCAGGTTATGTATGGTACGTGTAGTAAATGTAGCGGCCAATTTCTTGTCTGTGATTGGTGAGTTTTGCTAGAAAAGCCGTGAGTGATTGACTGGCAGAATGAAGAACTCTGATAATGTTTTTGATAATACGGCAAATCAAAAGAGATCAAAAGCGCTAAACGAAAGTAACAATACGCACTACTTCATTTGCTAGAACTTTAATGGGAGACAACTTCAATAACTTACGGAAGATTTTGCGCACAAATGTTCAGTTGTTTCGCTTCATTTGATTATAAGTGCGACCGCAATTATTCTTGCAAGATATTTTGCACACATAATAATTGAAACGAAAAAGTATCATTGATTGATTATCATTGAAATTAAAAATAAATTATTCAATGAGATGGCCGCTATGAAGTGTGAAGAAGAAAAGTGAACAGAAGATTTTTCATCATTCGTTCATTATTCAAGAAGTGAGCTTCTAAACTCAGCTTGAAAAAAATAATTTTCATCTGCAGCTATATGTTGTATGAATAGGAACTAATGTCAAGT